GCGCCGCGGTCGGCGGCGCGGCGCCGCCGGCACCCCCGGCGGCGACGAGGGCGGCGGCATCCAGCTGCGCGCGCGCGTGTGCCATGAGGTCCTCGAGCTCCCGCGCGTGCGGCCCCAGCGCCGCCGCCTGGTCGGGCGCCGCGCGCGAGAGCAGCGCCAGGCGGCGCCGCGCGCCGTCGAGCGCCTCGGCGCACTGCGCGACGACGGACTCGGCGGCGCGCATGGCCTCGCCGAGCAGCTTCTCGCCCTCCTCCCTGGGGTGTGATTGAAAGGCGCGCGCGACAGCTGGCGTCAGGTCGGCCCAACGGGCGGAACACGGCGCTTTGCCGTGGATGGCCAGGTCAAGGCAGGCGGATTTGCAGCACAGAGTGCTGAAGACGCGGCAGCAAATCCCTGGCTATGCTGTTGGTCTTCGTGGGTGCCAACCCCACAGCATATGAAGCGGGCGCCAGCGTGCTACCGCGAGGCGCAGTGCAGGCGCAGCGCAGGCAAAGGCATGCGCGCGTGCGCGGCGGTGTGTGCGGGGGGGACGGGGGCGCACCTCTGCTTGGCGGCCTTGGCCGCGGCGTCCTTGGAGGTGCTGGCCAGCAGAGCCAGCTTGTCCGCCTGCGAGCCGTGGAAAGTGTGGTTTGTGACACAAGCTAGACGCTAGAAAAGTTTTGGGCGGAAGGGGCGAGTTTGGCGTCAAACATTCTTTGTCTGCCGCACATGTTCTGACCGGCAACCAGCCGCCAGCCGCGCCACCTGGCTCGCGCGTGCTTGCGACCCTCCGTGCCCGCCGCCCAACGCCCCGCGGCCTCAAGTTGCTCGCCCGGCCCCCGCGGCCCCCGCAAGCGCCCCCCACCTGCGCCAGCCGCGAGCGCGCGTTGGTGATCTTGGCGGGCGCCTCCTGCAGCGCCGACAGCCCCAGGCCCAGCAGCTGCCGCACCAGACCCAGGTAGCGCGCGGGGCCGTCGGCGTTGGCCGCGCGCGCCTCGGCCCTGCACGGCACGGCACAGGGGACCGGGGAGGCGAGAGCTGCTTGCTGGGGGCCCACATCACGTACGTTCGCGCGTGTGTGTGCGCGGTGTGTGTGTGTATGTGTGTTGGAGGCAAGAAGCAAGCCAGCGGGCCCCGGCGGGGGCGCAAGGCAGGGGCGCAAGGCAGGGGCCCCACAGTACAGTCGCACGGGCAAGGGCAGCCGCACATGGCGCCGCTCGCATGGCGCCGGGCAATGGCAACGGGCGCGGCGCTCACAACTCAGGGGCGGCGGCGGCGAGGGGGTCCGCGAGGGCCAGCAGGGCGTTGGCTGCGTCCAGCTCCTCAGAGTAGTGCGCTGAGCTCAGGCCGGCCTGCGGCAGGCGGTATGAGATACTTCCAGATTTGGGGCAGGGCGCCGGCCAGGCGGCAGGATGCTAAACAAGCGCTTCAATGGCCCGGCGGCCGCGCAACCTTCGTTGCTGGGATGGCCGCCGCGCCCCCGGGATGCGGCGGCCCCTTACTCACCTGCTTGCCGCGCCCCGGCGCCTGCTCCGCCGCGGCGCCCTGCCGCTGGCGCAGGCGCTGCCGTTGGCCCTCCACCTCGGACGCCTGCGCGCGCAGCGCAGACAGCTGCGCCTCCAGGGAGCGGATCTGCGGCGCGCGGCGGTCATATGGAGCACAGGCGTGTGCGCGTGAGACGCCATGGTCGGCGCGGCGGCGAGCCGGCGCGCCGCCGGCACGATGCAGCCGCGTCAAAGGCTGCGACGCCGCGGCAGAAAGCAGCCAGCAGGTGCAACGTGCGGGCGGCGCGCGACCGGCGGGGGAGCAGCGCGCAGGGCGCAGGGCGCAGCCGGCAGGAGGCGAGGTGCAGCGGGCAGGGCACGGGGCGAGGTGTGTGGCAGCCCACCTCCCCCGCGAGCTTTGAGGCCTGCGCCGCCAGCACGCCCTCCTCCCGCTGCAGCGACGCGCGCGCCGCGCCCGCGCCGTTGGAGTGCGCGCCCGCCTCCTGAGCCTTCGCCTCCTGAGGCCGCGGGGGCGGGGGGTTGGGGCGGCAAGGCGGCTCGGCGCCGCCCGTCTGGCCGCATGCGGCTGATGCTGCCGGCCTCAGCAACATTACTGCGACGCATGCCACTGATGTGAACTCGCATGCATGAAAAACGCGCAGAAGCACGCATGCAAGTGCGTGACGCCCCGTATGCATGGGAACCGTGCGCATGCATGCACACATGCATGAACGACGCGCGACAACACCCCGATGTCGCTGCTCACGTGCAGGTGGTTGCTGATGGCGGCCTTGAGCTCCTCAAGGCTCTGCGCCGCCGCCCGCCGCGCCGCGGCCGCGCCCGCGGCGCCCGCTCCGTCTCCGCCCTCGCCGCCGCCGCCCTGCAGCAGGTCCAGCTTGTCGTGCTGCAGCTGCACCAGCTGCCGCGCGCTGTTCAGATGCTCCCTGGCGTGAGAAACGAGGGGGGGGCATTGTCGCCGGGCACGTTTGGAGGCTTCGGCAAACCCTGAACCCTGGACCAAGCAGCGTGCGCAACTGCCTGCATGACTGATTATTCGGGGTCTAGTGATTATGACACCGCCCCCCACCCTGCTCTGGCCTGGCCTGCATGGGCATCGCCCAGCCGCCAGCCAACCGCTCCATACTAACGCGCATACAGGCAGCCATAGCCCCCCCTGGGCACGCAGTAGAGCATGCCCGCCGCCCCGCCCTCACTTTGTGACGCCACCCTGCGACACCTTGGACAGGAACCCCTGCAGCTTGGCCATCTCGGCGTCGATCGCCGACAGCCGCCCGAGCGGCCCGCTGCCGCCTGCGGCGCCGCCGCCGCCCCGCTTGCCGCCGGCGGGGGCTGCGGGCGCGGCCGCATCCTCGGCTTTGAGGCTGCTGACGAGGGTGTAGGCCGCGCGCTGCGCGGCCCCGAGGGTGTCGAACGCCTGGGCGTCGGCGGAGAGCAGCTGTGCCAGCCGCGCGACGGCCGAGGCGAGCGCGGGCGCGCCGGCCGGGTTGGGCAGGAAGGTGGCGAGCAGCTGCTGCAGGTGGGTCGCGTGGTCGGCGGGGAGGGGGCTGGAGAGGCAGCCCTCGACGGTGATCTCCAGGGCGCGGCTGCGCAGCACCACCTGAGGAGGGGGCAAGATCAGATCAGCGTGCAAGTGGCCAGATCAGCGCAAGTGGCACCGGGCGCATGCGCTACTCGCGCAGCCCCTTGCACGCATGTCAGCATACTGCTAGCTGCTGAGATCCAAGACGGAACCAATATGATGACCGCAAAGGAGGAACACAACACCCCTGCGGCGCGCCCGCCCCACTCGCTGCGTCGCGCCACCACGGGTCCGCGCGCTTGCCTGCTTGAAGTCCAGCAGTGATCCATCCGTGTCCGTGTAGGCAATGGCCTTGGGGCTACGGTCAGCAGCCTGCAGTGAAAGAGGAGGCATCGCACACACGGTTGGCCGAGCTCCGGGAGCATCACCAGAACGGGAACTGGCCCAATGAATGACCCGAGACCATCCTGCTGGTGGCTTGCCTGCTTGATCCAGTCCTTCCAAAGCTTGAGCCTGTCACTGCCGGACTTGAACGTGCGGGCCGTCTTGTCCAGCACGGCGCAGGCCTCACCAACCTCCACGACCGCGTCTTGCTGCTCGGCCGGGCCTGATCCCACAGCAGTGCCGGCCTCCTGGGCACCTCCCTGTGACTTGGGCTTCTTGTTCTTCTTCTTCTTGGCCGACGGGGCCTGCCCCGCGCCGATCGCCGCGAGGGCATTGAACGAGTTGAAGGCTGAAGCCATAGTTATCTTAGAGGCAGTGATATATGCGAGGCAGTCCCGTCGTTTGGTGGTTTCAGCCTACGCCTGGGAGCAAGGGCTTGACCTGAGCTGCGCTGCGGCCACACCTCAGCGGCGTCACCCCAGCTCGAGCGTTGACTAAGCCAGGAGGTGGCAGCTTCGCTCATGTTGATACATCATGGGGACTATAGAGCTGCGTCAGCCATTATGGGGCTATCCAAGCGATCATTGCCATGCTGCAGGCGTGCGTAATTTACAGGAGCACCCCAGCTTCCATGTGAGCGGTGCTCAAACAGCAGGTCGCCACAGATGCACCTGCCAACCGGCAATTGCAAGCATGAATACGCCGCGGGCGGCCGTGCTGCACGCCCCATGCAGAACCAATAGCCAGCCAGCCGCATGGGCTGCATGCATGGACCAGCAAGCATGGCGTCGCAAAACAACGCTGTCCTGTGCACACCACGGGTATTTGACCCTGACAGCCGCGCTTCGATGGACAACAGCAACAAGCAAATCAAACCGGCCCCAACGGCGGCAGCCAGACAACCCCCCATCCTGCACACCGTCTAATGCATGTGGTTTGTGCATGCTGGCAGCCTTCCGCCGTCCTCGCGCCCGCGCTCATCCTGCTTCGTTTCGCTGCAGCAGCTCGTCTGCTTGCGCGTCGCGCATAGGCCCATACCGCAGCCGCACGGCCGCGCGCCCCACCATCACCGCGGCAACAGCCTCGGCGCGCGCCTGTGCCGACCGCGCACCGGCGAAGCTGGAGGCAGCGGCGGCCGCCGCTGCGGCGGCCGTGCTCATATGCGTGTGGGATCCTGGGAACACACGTCCATCGAAGGCCGCTGCCTCTTTCATCGCCTGCGCATGTGAAGGATGTTTGATGCAACGCCCGCCCTGCCGTCAGCCAGCACATGCTCAACATTAAAGACAGACAAGTGTGTGAAGAGATCTGGCTGGGCATCCCACGTTGAAACAAGTGAGCACTGCGACGTGCAGCACAGGCGCGAGTCTGTCTGTCATGCACGCACGAGCCAGCAGCACTGACCACCAACCTCGGCCGCCTCTCGCCGCCTGCCGAGCGCGTTGAGGCACGCAGCACGGCAGTGCAGCAGCCCGTTGGTGGACACCCAAGTGTACGCTGCAGCGTCGCCGCCCGCGCCGGCCGCGCGCAGCGCAGCGTCGAGGCGGCCATACAGCATGTTGCATTCGGCGAGCGCTTGGTCATATCGCTGCTGCCTGCGCGGTGAGCGTCGTGAGACGGGTGCAGACGGCAGCCTTTGTGCTACCAGACAGGATGGGTGGTGAGCCGGCGCAAACAGTGCAAACAAGATGAGTTCTGTAGGAAATCGCCAACTTGGATTTTCGCAAGCTCTCACAGCGTGCACGACCGCCCTCGCAGTGCAAATCAAGCCCCAGGTCTTCGATCATGTGGGAGCGCGCCCAGCTCGCCTGAACAGCTGTCGCACGCGCCCGGCGGCCGCCGCCCCGCCGGGTGGCCCGCTTCCCGCGTCCATTGCGGCGCCGGCTGCCTGAATGGCGCGTCTCACGTCGGGCCCCAGCACCTCTTCCGCCGTGCAGCGCTTGCAGCCGCACTCGAATCCCCAGCCGCGCCGCAGCGCCGCGCGGCGCTCGGAGAGGGGCTGACTCAGCGCCTGTCCTTTGTAGCCTATAGTAACCTCGGCGCCTGTATGAGACGGAGGTCGATGCGTGCGTGCGCCCGCGTGTGCGCATGTGTCATACTGCAGGATGCATGTGTGTGTGTGTGTGTGTGTGTGTGTGTGTGTGTGTGTGTGTGTGTGTGTGTGTGTGTGTGTGTGTGTGTGTGTG